ATGTTTTTCACATAAATATATACAATTTAATTTAATATTTTTTCGTTCATTTCGTTTATTAAAATATATTTATTTACATATAATTGGTAGGTACATTTTTAAAGCCACAATGGCCGTTTTGTTCTCCCCTTTATATCCGAAAATGCAGAATCATCTTAATTTACAGGAAAAATATAATGAAAACTCTGATGTAGAAAGAAAGGCCTCTGCTCTTCTTCATGTGAGTCTTACTGACCGTTTATTTATAGTATCAACTTTAGGGGCAATATCAATCAATATGCAAATAGTTAGTAATAAAAATAAATAATCATCATTTAAATCGTTAAGCAGTAAGCATGTATTTGGTTTATCGTTGCAAATATCAATAATGGCGTAGAAACGTAAATAAACAAACTAAATATTAGCTGACATATAATTGTAGATTCTCAAGCAACATATCGATTTGTATACAATGAATCGTTAAGTCAATTTCATTGCACTTGGTGATTTTGTTTATGCATACTGCTTGCAGTAGCTTGACGCAACCGCATTGCAGAATTTACAAAGATTTTAAACTAGACACTAAGGTAAATTACTAGGTTACAATACTGGATATCAAGAACATCTATCTATACATATAAATAAAATTGAAGGGTCTGTCTGTGGTTTCATAAAAACTTAAAAAAAAACCGACTTCCAGGCACTAAAATGTAAAAAATAACTAAACGGACTGACAGATTTCGATAAACTTTATATGGGACTACCTGGAAAATATATCCTTTGAAACAAAAAAATATTTCCAAATCGATTCAGGCGTCTTCGAGTAATCTGTGAACATACATAAAAAAAAGTTTCCGACGAATTGAGAACCTGCTCCTTTTTGGAAGTCGGTTAAAAATAACTATATTTTCTCAAGTACCTATTTGTTATTTATATGATACCAGAACCTAAACAACCTTTCTAATGTTTAAGCTATTGCATAGCTTCTATCGCGGGCCTTGAGCGTGGGGACCGAATCCAGAAATTCCGTAACGAAAAAAACCTGACACCCCCCACTCCGACCGGCACAGCGGTGATACTTTTTAGTTTTTTCATCTATCGATAAATACCAGAACTTTTAATGACTTTTTGAAATATCACGCTTGTCTCTTTAGTTCAGCAACCCGCCTTTAGGTGGCATTGGTTGTATTGGAAAACTACCGTAATCAGCGGTTTGTGAGAAAGTATATAGGTGTATAGGTATTTATCATCTATGTACAACAGTGAATATCTGTACTCGTATAATTTGTGTACAAAGTGTTTTAAATATGAATAAACAAAGTGCATTTATTAATGAAGAAAGTCAAGGAAAAAAAAATACTGCATTAATAAAATAAATAAATAATTATAATTGCATAAGTTGATAAAAAATGCAATGCAATAGCTTTACCGCGGCAGTCTCCGAGTGCCACATTTAATTTTTTATCTGTCTGTCTTTCTGTTTGTCCGGGATAATATTTGGAAGGGTAAACCTATTGTAATGAGCCTTTCACTAGAAGAGAGACGAGTTTGTAGGGCTACATATTGGGTATGTTTTATTCCTGAAATATTTAGGATTCCAGCGCAAAAATCGAAAAACCTTAAAAATTACACAAAATTCCAATTTACGACTTCAAGAAAGAGTCCGCGATAGCATGTGTGTATCTCCTAAGATAGCCGCAGAATATTATTTTTTATCTATTTAAAAATAGTACATGTAGTATTTTTACGGTAATGCCTTCCCGAGTAAAAGAAAACATTGTCATTTCTTATCTGCAAATGAAAAACCTCATAAAAATTTTAACTACTAAATATATTTAATAGTGTAGTAACAGAGTTATATATGTCAGACATTTATTTATATTAAAAATGTAACATGTAATAAAAACTTTTTAGTATATTTAAATTATACATGTCATTTAAATGAAACCTAACGATGTACACCTAAACCTTCAATTGAAATCCATCTAGATTCTAGTTATTTCTCAGAACATTACCCATAGATTATTATTATTTTAAGATTTACGTAACTCCAGTTTTTATTTTCATATAGTGTATTTATATGAATAAATAGCTCTTAGTAGATATAAAAATGAGTTGAAAAGGTCGAAAAACCAGAATACTTTATATAAAATATGTTACGTAATATATCTTGGGTTCACATCTCATTAGGTAGACCTCTTCTGGGTGACGTTTTAGATATTTCACTGTTAACGAGGGGCAAATGGCAGCAAAAACAAAGAGGTGGCTGTGGATTGAACGAGGTGAAGTGGATGGGTATATTTTCGCTATTACATTTAAATGGTGAGATTATCAACTGTTATTGTGGCAAACTAACAATTAAAATTATTATAGTTTCGTATCGTAAATCTAATACGCAGCACCTAGACCATTGTTATCTATATTTTTTTAAAAAGCATTTACAAAAGGTATTAAAAGTACTAACATATATTTCAATACTATTTATACTGATCCAGGTACATAGACCTAGTAACTTAGTCTTTTCATGAAGTTACATTTTACATTACAATGTACACAAAAGAATTATAATGTTACGTTTATTACAGGAATGCAATTCTATGATAATGCACAAAGAATGTGAAGAAATATGTAAAAAAAATATCAGCAAAAGTCGGCCTTGCTGGCATGACTATCTTTTTCGTGGGTGTTCCTTTGTTTACCCTTTGTTTTTCACAAAGTTTGCAGGGTAATGTAAGACACTGATTATATATATTAAATACAAAAACGCTGACCTCGTCCCAACCCTGCGATACAGCGCGTACTTTGCACAGTCATCGCCATCTGTAATATTGCTAATACGTATAAGTACCTACATATAACCTATTATATGTACAGTGTGCACACATATATACCGCATATTTATGTTTATTTCTTTATATTAATGTGGCCTCTTATTTAATTACTATAAGTTCTTGTAGTATTCAAACGATTTGAATTCTCGGACTTAATCATACCTAGTATTATACCTCTACTGTGTTATTTGATATAGGTACCTAATATGTATAGAATTCAAAGAACTTGGACAAAATAGATTTTTCCACTAGATAAAAGGCTAATGTTTTATACGGGATACCTAAAATTACTTTACACTAACATGAAAAATTTAAAGCATTTTTACATATATGATCATTAATATTTTTATTTATTTTTATTGCACTTATAAGTTATATAAAAAATACACAGTATCTGGCGTTGGACAAAGATGAATCTATCTATAAAAGGAATCTCTTCCAGTCAATCCATATATATGGCAAATAGTATTTTAAATAGTACAATAATTTCAAAACTATAGGTATGTATTCGAATTAGAAAAGTGATCGAGTGAGTGCGATCGATAATTTTTAAATTAAGAACGGAAATAGTCTATGTGATTTTTTTAAGGTTGGGAAATACATTTACTTGTACCATTTGCATACGTTTTTGTTATTGTTATGGTTATTTTGGTTATGTGGGACAAACCGGCGAGAAAAATCAGTACCACTCTCTAAAACCCTACGGAACTTTCTTCGTTGTATTGGGGCGTCGACAACAATGGCTGGCCTGCTGAGGCTGAACTCAACGACCAGGGAGTAACTCCCACAGTCCGCTTTGCTATCGGAGAACTACCAGGAGCAACCCGCATGGAGCACCGCCCACCGAAGTGGGCCACCTCCCTGTGGCTCTTGGCTTCATGCCCGGCTGGATTGCCGGACGCTAATGAATCTCTCCCTCACAAAACAAGATAATCACATTGGTCATGGAGAGAATATCTATTCCTACATTTTTGCCTCAAGATTGTATTAAGACGTAAGTGACTTTAGAAATACAACGCCGTAAGAGTTGCGAGGTAAAAATTTGAATAAATATTACTAAATCTAAATTAAATGAAGTATCACTAACTTTGTTTACCTCCGAAGTCATTACACTCAGAATAATGTATGTAAATACTTATATGGATATGTACATATATATTTGAGTTGTACTGCGATAAACTAGTAACTTGATGACTTATGTGTCAGTCAAATAAAGATAAAATGGACGACAAATGTTATCAAATACCATGTTACAGTGAACATTTTGCATTATTTACTTAACAATTAGCAATACATTAGAATCATGTAAGTATAAAGTAATAGGTATTTGTAAAGTATATTAAAAAAATTATTACTTAAGAATTACAGTTATAGGTATTAAATATAAATATTAAATTATCTGGACATGAAGCAATGAGCTATGAAAACTTTTTGCCTATGTATTCAAATGCGATTAATGTGCGCGTGTATGCACTATGTATCTATAGTTATTATAAACATATTATAGAGGTCACGCTACAAGGGTATTATGGATTTATGAACACTAATATAAATCTATACATATAATAAAATTGTAACTGAGCCGAATCTGTACATTAAATATTTTTTGGAAAATCTTATTGAAATAAACATTATTATCGATACAGAGGCCGAATCTATAGTTTTTAGAATTTTTGTCTCTCTGTCTGTCTGTCTGTTGCCGCATCCCAGAAAAACCACTGGAGGGATTTTGATAAAATTTGGTATGGTGATAGCTAGTTATCCAGGTCAACATATAGGATAATTTTTACCGCGGGAAAATGTCTCATTTCTGAGAAAAAATACAAAAACTGCAATGTAAGAGTATACTAATGTAAAACCTTAGAGTTTGGCTTTTAGTCATCTGAACGCGGGCGGAGCCGCGGTCAATGCTAGTGTATTATATGTTATAACTAAGAAAAAAGATAAAATTAAGGTTGGTACATTTCGAGAAACAAACCTTGAATCATTTCTAAAAATACATAAAAAAGAAAGAAATCATATTACAATACATTTAAACATTATAAAACAATAACATCAAAAAGTAAATTACCGCAACTGTGTACTAATTAAAATGTTCATTGTTTAGAAATGCAGATCAGACAAAGTACATTTAACTATTATACTTGGGTGGAAACAATGCTAGGAGTAGATAATAGTTTAAGTACTCACTGACTATATGAATCATAAAGGATGCGAAGACCACCATCCAACCCCATCCGCCGTCTGGCGGGGGTGGCAGGCTCTCGGAACCCTCCCTCGACGTCTCGACAGCATGCGAGCTGTTCCCATTCTTGGTACTCTTCACAGTACCGTGCGACATCACTTCAAACTTATTTTACTTGGCACCTATTATTGTTAAGGCAGTTCACTAGATGTTGATATGATAGGTTACAATGAGATTTTTAACGGTATTTATAAATAGAGGCACTTTTTTTTTTGATTGAAAAGAAGGAAGCAACGTTACGGTTGGAAGAACGGCTTATAAGATTATTGTACCACACATGATTTACTGTGCTAAATCATGGCAATTCTACCTATCTACGGTTTAATATAACCTGCAGATTTTTGAACTGTTGATGACTTTGGAAGAACATTTTGGCTTGGTATCTGAAAAAAAGAAATATATAGGTATAGTAAAACCTTTTGAGTAACAATTAGTGTTTTGACAGTGTAGTTACATTGTAATATCGTTGTGAAATTTATTTTGTAAAAACTTAAATCACATATTTTCAAAGTCGGTACCAGCCGATGTAAAGCAAATCTAATATACATATTTCCATACGTAAAATACTTATTTACCTATTAGATATTCATATCTTAATATATTGTCGGCTGGCACCAACTTCGAAAATATCTGATTAGGTATCTATTCTAAATGAAAACCCCCGTTTAGTTATTTTTTACATTTTAGTGCCTGGAAGTTGGTTTTTATTTATCTTTTAAAAGTTTTTATTTTTCCATTTTTAGTGTAGACGTAATAAGCAGGTAATTTGTAAGAAGAAAGTTGTTTAATTACATATACGAATAAACAATTTATTTAAAAAAATAATTTATTGTTGATTTTTTTAAAAACCGCTCTCGACCGATTTCGATAAAACTTGGGAAGTATACCCTTTGAAACAAAAAAAATCCAAATCGGTTTAGGCGTCTTCGAGTAATCGGTGAACATACCTAAATAAAAAAAAAAGATTCCGACGAATTGAGAAACCTTCCTTTTTGAAAGTCGGTTAATAAATAAAGTTTATAAGTAAGGATGGTTATGAATTTTTCCCATATTGAAAAGATATTGAAAGAAGATGAGAGGCGGAAAAAGAATGAAAAAGGAATTAAGTAGAAGAGCCTGAATTAAAAACAAACGTTTATTTTACTATTAGTAAGTACTAAGTATATTAATAAAAAATAAATTTAGTAAAATATAAATAAATAAATATAAGTCGCCATGAAATTATTGTGCGCATATTAGAATTTTGATTAGGTATTTATCTATTTAGATTATTATCTAGAAATATGAGTATGATAATGTACATATTGCATAAGTAGATTTTTTATCTTGCCGTCGCTGGGCATATTCATTTTACATATTATACTTATAGTTCTAAATACACACTACACAGAGTTGCTATTTGGTTACAATATTAATTTGATCGATGGCTGTTATTGGATTTTGCCGATAACATAAGAATTGAGAATACCTATTGACTACATGACTTGTAAGATTATTAAGATGTAACAATAAATTGATAAGAATACATTTTAGGCCTTAGTATTATATATATTATATTATTATATTGCCTTGAAAATAATTTAACATAAAACGATCTTTATATTGATTTATCTTTCAGACGAGCGACTCACTCTCACCTCGTTCGGGTTCATCCCTAGTTACGTGTTAATGGTTAGTATGGAATAGACAGACTATATATCTATACTAATAAATGGAGAGCCGATTTTTTGTTCGGTTATACTGCGATAACTACTGAACCGATCGGAATAATACTTATACCATAAGATGCAGCTTGTTTCGGAGAAGGTTTTAGTATATGATATGTTGGTGATGAATGGACTATGCGGGCGGAGCCGCAGGAAAACGGTAGTTATATGATATGTAAGCCTTCTTCAATAAACGGGTTATCTAATGCAAAAATAATTTTTCAAATCGGTTTAGTCGTTCCTGACATTAGCGGGTTTATACAAAGAAACTCTGCGCTCTTTATAACATTAGAATAGATATTATAGTACCTTTCAGTTAGATAGTAGACTAGGAGAGTATAGGACAATATGTATTTTAGAAACGTTTTCAAATAGCGATGATTATTTTTTTAAGTAAAATAATACTATCTGGTTTAGTTAAGGTGGTCCTCAGTTATATTTGTAGGAAATCTATCTAGTTTTCAAAAGTTATGACCCTTTTTAAGAATCTCATAAACAAATATTAGAATATCCTTTTATGTTACTTATACTCGTACACGCATTTTGGCTCATGGTTAAAACCAATGATCTGACAAAATGAAGTTAAAAGTAATTATTAATTATATATTTGTTTTAATATAATAACTTATTAATTATATCGAAGATATATGTTACGCAATAATTATTTATATAATTATAAACGATAAATATGTATAAATATATAACGAACGAACGAAGAAAAAAGTGTCTCTATTTATAAATAATTATAGCGTAATTATAAAAAAATATAATTATTGCGTAAGATATTCACAAAAACAAAAAATACAGATGAATTGAATACCTTTTTCTTCTTAAAGTCGGTTAAAAAATAATTAACTTTTTACGTATATTTATTTTTAATGTTTGTTTGTTTTTGAAATCTCAGCTACTGGAAAGACCTAATCTGCCGCTTTATGTAATTTATTTTTCACTTTTGTCTGTTCTTTCAAACTCTAATTTCAGAATATTTTTCGGCATGCATAAAAAATTTGAAACCATGATAAATAATGATATATACGAAAACTCAAGATTCGCAATTAGCGTCTCAAAAAGAAGCGCACAATTCGAAATTGAATTGCGCTTTTTTCAAATCTTTTTTGTTTATTGCTTTTCGGATGACCAAATTAAAAGATTGCTTCGTTTAAAAAGTAGACAATTAGAACTTTCGGTTTGTGAATTTTATTCTTTGGTTTGACTTAACGTCACATGTTGACGCCAGTTTTTAAGAGATATTTCTTAGGATTTATGTGTCTCTATAAATCTAAATCTATCTTTTTATATATCAATGGTTAAAACGAATTATTTGTAAAAAATTGAATTATTTTACGAAACAAGCACATTTGCTGAGCAAAAAATGAGAACTAAAATGAAACATTACCATAATAAGTAAGTATATTATGATGATCTAGATTCTTCAGTGAGGCACTTGTTGGGAATATAACTTGTTAAGACACCTTCAGTGTCAAAGTAAAATCTTTAATACTGTTCTGTGCGGGCTTCATTTTCTCAACCTTCAGTCAGCATTTGATATTCAATACACAATAGAAAACCTATGTTATACCAAAGCCGCAAAAAGTATTTTAGAAGCCTAACCTAAGCCCCAAAATTTTATTGTAATGTAAATGAAGTTAGATTTCTGCTTAAATCTATACTTATAAAAGTATTGAGATCTGTTACAAAATAGGTACCCTATATTGAGCGGTTCATCATGTGGTTATTTTCACTATACCAAAGAAATAAATACGTTAAGTATTTTATTTGTCTCTATCTTCTCTCCCCACCCTTATATTCTCGCTATATTTTCAAAACGAATGAACCATTTTTAATGTTATTTTCACTGACAAAAATAGGAAGGAGGAAGTAAGGAATGAAATAAAGGATAGTATTTGATCATATTGAAATGGGCTTTCACAGTCGGAAACAGTATTTACTTGAAATCGTTAAAGGCTCCTTTTATCCTGAGGAAAATAAAGATTTCCGGAAAAAGAGATAGCAGTAAATAACGAGCTTTTTGGCAAGGGATGTAATGCCCAAGCGAGACGGGATGGATCGCTAGTCTATACAGATAAATAAAATTGAAGTGTCTGTTTGTAATGTCAAAATTACAGCTATTTACTAAACGCATATGGAATAATATAAGGTATAAGGATTTATATATGGAATTATATAAGGTAATTTATAAGAAAAAGACAATTTTTAAAAAAAATTGTCTGTTCGTTCCGGTTAATCTCCGAAACGGCTGGGCTGATTTTGACGGGACTTTCACTGGCAGGTAGTAGATGTTATAAGAAGTAATTTAGTCTACTTTTATTTCAGAAAAAGAATTAGGGTTCCGTTCAAAAAAATTGTAATGTACCTAGAGACGAACCCGGGCAAAGAGAGGGTAAGTCGCTAGTCCGAAGTGAAAAGCAAACTTACTGTTTACGTAAGACGTAACTTGACCGTTATTATCAATGTTTATTATTATACGATAAGAGGTCGATGTTCATGATCAATAATTTTGCCGATTGAGAATAATTACATCAGTATTTTATTAGTTTTTACTACGATATCCTTGAACAGCGAGATTCAAGGGTTAGGAAAAGGATACGGTTTATATTTTATGTTCATGAATATTTAATTTATTTTATGCACAAAAAAGAGATATGTATGTAATTAAAAATTAATTTGGAGTGGCATATTATACGTTAGGCTCTGAAAGACCCGTTCGAGAGAAGCGAGTGCAAGATGATGAAGATGAATATAGATTTTAAAAGCCCCGCAAGGTTTTTTGTATAAAACTTTTTTACAAAAAAATAAAAACCGACTTCATACAAAAGTACTAAAAAGTAAAAATTAACTGATTGGTAGTTTTCATTTACTATACATACCTAATCAAATATTTTCGAAGTCGGTGTGCTTTGCTTTGTATGGGCTGGCACCGATTTCGAAAATATTTGATTAGGTATGTATAGTAAATGAGAACTACCAATCGGTTATTTTTTTACTTTTTAGTACTTTTGTTTGAAGTCGGTTTTTATTTTTTTGTTAAAAAGTTTTTATTTTTCCCTTTTTAGTGTAGACAGTAGTAGCAAAGTACGAATTCTAACGTGTTAGGCTTGTCAATCAAAATAAAATCAAATCAAACAAAATAAGCCCAAACTCAAAGTATCTATTATTAGCCGTAGAAGAGTACCACCTATCCACCTTCTGGCCTTACCATCAGATCAGGTTAACAATACCGAACCACTGTACTATCAACGGAAATAGAACACTTGCAAAGTTTCAAGTCAATATGACAATTAGAAGTAGGTTAAATTCATTATTAGCTATTTTTCCACCCTTAGGGGTGGTATTTTTTTGAAATTTAAATGGGACCAATCTGGAAGTATA